TGCATTGCTCCGCAAACAGCGGGGAAAAGCGGACAAAACTTGATCCTCCTTGTCCACGCTCTTGAGATATGATTTTGTACACTCGAAAGCTACTCCCGTGCTAACTCGCCTGTACTTGGCTTTCGTACTGTTGATTTCTTCATGTTGCATATTTCGCTGCTGGCATTAATAAAATACTATTCTACGTCGTTCTAACGCCGTGTTGACTTAAAGGAAGACGCCAATTTTTCGGAAGATCAAACATCCTCCATCTTCAGAGCCAAACCATAAGTCCACAAAGCGTTAAAACCCAGAAGACCAACACCGATTATCCTCACAGGTGTCAGACGCTCAGCCCGAAAAAGCAACTACAAAACAACGATGGAGAGAAATGTCCCTCTGTCAAGTTACAAGCCGGTTCTAATTTACCTCCTCTCTGGCAGAGACAGAGGAGAAGAACCGGTGAGTGGACCGCCCGAGGGGGGGGGGGATAAAGCGAGTCACCAGGTGAACAACCTCGACATCAAATCCCGGCGAGATGGACTGCAGCTGCCACACTGACGTAACTCAGCAGCAATTGGTTTTGGAACCATCCTGCACCAGCACCGCAGAAATGCAGTGCCGTCGACGCTAATGGACGAAAAAGCCACACGTAACTCCTCCTTGCAAAATTCGCCATGGTGAGATTTCAGGTTCTCAAGGCGACGACTGTCTTGTAGGATGCTGCGCTCTTGCTATAAGGTGACTGAGGAGCGTACTGCCTCCATCATAGGAGCGATTAACATTCATCAACATAAAACATATAAATCAGTCCGTACCGCGAAGAAAACACCACACTTCACCATTACAAAGATCAAGTGGTTAACGCTGTTTAAGGAAATAATCGCTGTTTATTTGGAGAATCATACGAAACCCATACATACAAAACGCAAGAGTTATTAAGTGTGTGGAGCAGGTGGTAAATATAGTTACCACTGTGGTTTGAAGCAGTAGTTCACATACATATTTAGTCTGAGGTTCCGCTTGATGTAAATAAACCGAAGTTCCAACACGTAACGTAATTTCGTAATTTAAAAAATAATTATCAAACGCATTACGAAACTCTAATAACACGTATGAAGTGATTTTTCTACCAAACTGTGTGTGAGGCTGGAAATTTAAATATATTCTAATTAGGCCATTAGCAGTCTGACAAAAGCTCCAAGGCCGCGGTTGACACTTCAAGTGCTAATTACATCTAAGAAATACTGACAATTCGGTTCTTACCTCTAAGACAACACACCGTATCCCTGAGTGCCTATAGGATCAACATTTCGAATCGCTGACGCTGAAGTACGAGGTAATATTTTCGGTTAATACAGAAACTTCTGACGAGGGAAGAAATCTTTACATTCTAACTACTACGTCGCAGGTTAAGAAAGCCACCGGTCAGTCTGAGGCTGTTGGGAACCCCTAAGCTGCCTTGCCAAGGTTTGAGCAAAGAAGTTTGAGGTGGTTAATACCACGCGGCTTATTGGTTGGGTGTCAGTCAAGCTTATGAAATAGGCCAATCGACACTCAAAGGTGACAACGGCTTTCGTTAAAACCAAATGAGGTTATTCGGTTGGCGTTCCTGAAGGGAAACATCAAAACTCATACGAATTTTTAATTCACAAAACTTTCTCGGACGAATTTGTTCCAAGGATTTTATCACCCTCAGAAATATCCAGATGCCCAACTCCCCTGTCGTGCCGACTGTTTCGACACTGCGTACATTGGAATTCGCTGGCGTTCCACCAGCATTTCTTAAGGCATTCGACGTTTCGATAACAAAAAATCGTATACAAGACAAATCCGCGCTGATAACGCCTAACAACACGAGATTCCTTATCAGTCAGTTACTATAGGGGCGGGGGCGGGGGTCCCTTTGCCACATTCGCTCCGGAGAGATTACTGAAATTAATGAGGACAGCAGATTCAAGTCAGTCAGACTCGTGGCATGGTCTTACTAAGGAGCGATATAATATACAAACCACGTCGACTGCTAATGCAGAGATTCGAATCATAGATCCGCCACTGCCTTGCCTTTAGTCTGACGTTCGTACGAAAATCGTAGTTTTCAGTTACCACACTGCAAACTTTCCAGGCCGTTTGTGAAGATGTAATTCAGAGCATGACAAAGTGTAACGACTGTCACACAGGAGAACCGCTCAACACGATTTCCACGCTAAATAATCGGCACCAATTGCGTACGAACGTCGTAAAGAGAACTAACTCCCACTCTAAAACTTACGATGTCAAGAAATATTTCCTGGTTTCTTCCCTTGAAGCAGAAGCTCGTCGAAATTACATTTAAGAATTCAGTCCGTACCGCGAAGAAAACACAACACTTCACCGTTACGAAGATCAACTGGTTAACGCTGTTTAAGGAAGTAATCGCTGTTTATTCTGAGAATCACAGTTCGTCTGATTAATATTAAAGAATTAGTCCGTACCGCGAAGAAAACACTACGCCTCACCATTACAAAGATCAACTTGTTAACGCTGTTTAAGGAAATGATCGATGTTTATAATGAGAATCATAGTTCGTCTGATTAATATTAAAGAATCCAGTCCGTACCGCAAAGAAAACACCACACTCCACCATTACAAAGATCAACTGGTTAACGCTGTTTAAGGAAATAATCGCTGTTTACACTGAGAATCATACAGCACACCATAAATAAATACACTGTGTGGGCAAAATTTACGATGCTCTTATTTAATTTTAACAATTATTTTCTTAACCCTTTCCTCTGCAACATTCATTTCAACTTGTCATGTTAAATGACCTCCGTATTATGACGTCGCTAGGGGAGAGCGTGCAGACCAGACCTATAAAGGCTCAGTGACTCAGTTAATTGGCTCGACGGAACTTGATTCATTCACATTCGCCCTTATCCACGGGTCATAATTTCTCGGAAGCAGGTTACTGGCAATTCTTGTGACGAACACTTGCAAAACGCTCAAGTGATCTCGCCCACGTCTCTTTCTCAAAATTCATCGGTCTCTGCTACCGTTCTTTGCCATATACAGCCGACGTCCGATCGCTCAACGACAACAGTCCACACCATTTATAAATTACGAAATTTAAAAATGCGGTTCTTAAATCTCAGGAAAACACCAAATCGCAAATTCAAATTAAAGTGTTGTAAAAATTCTAGAAAAAAAATTGTTCTTCAATCTGAAAACCAAATGGAAACAATAAATAAGCTCTGTGCGCGACATGAAAGTAAAAGTAGATGGTATACAATGTTACCACTGAAAGAACGAAAGATACTGATTAATAAAGTAGAGGATTCGCGGGAAGAGGTGAGACAATCCATGACAACGTGGAACTTGTTCTTCCGAAAAATATCGCGTTGTGATGATACACACAATGAAAAGCGTACGAAAAGACTCACAAACTAATACAGATACAAATATTAATCGGTTCGTAACTGAATACTGGGTTCAGTTTAACGTTAAACGAACAACAGGAAATATTTAATTAACTAAATGATTCGGCTCTTCATAGTGATCTACTGTTTTCACCATTTAAAATGTCACGTGAACCATTCCTCAGTAAAATTATATGATTGATAGTGTTTCACTCTGCAGGAAGATGTACAAAAGTTGTTAATTGTTCATTTAGTGTTTTGTGGTGTGGCAGGATTCAATTTACAAAGTTCTACTAAAGTAACAGATAAAAAACATACGTTATTACACGATTTATAAATCACGAATTAAGCCATGATCCCTCGATCACTAAATCTTTCACTGGCAACTAAATTTTGTTCAAAAGAAATTGTGTCATCCCAAACCGGGAATAGCCAACCAATTGCCTGCAGGCGAGAATGTGAAGATATTCCTAATAAATTATTGATAATTAAATTATGATAACAAACAAAGTGGTATCGCTCTATGATTTGAATCTCTGTTGACAGCTGATGACTTGCAAATGTCACACATTAATTGAGGAGTTCAGAAGTACAAATAACAATGTTTTTGAAAAGAACACAAAGTACAAACATATTAGTATATAATTATTTAAATTAACATGTTCTAACAACAAATGAGATAATTAATTAATTGCTGAATCTGAATGTGCTAAATACTTCAGGTGGTATATATAGTTACCAATAGGCTTTAAAGGATTGATGATCACAGCATATTATCAATACCGGGGCGATATTTCAAATTGGGGAACTTAACTTAGTGTAAATTAAAATATTTGTACCAAATGTAAAATAGTTTAAAACACGTGAGACAACAAAAAGTAACAAAATGCATTTTATTTAATATCAAGCCATAACTACAACTGAAACCATGCAAAATAATAGTTTTTGACTGTTTACTTCTATGATTGAAATAACTTTTTATCCTGCATTGTTTCGTCATCAAACAGGCACACGAGCCACAGATTAAAAACCAATAGAATACAATGAACCGTCAAGGCTCCCCGTTCTATTTAAAAGTAAGGATATCTAAATTACTATTAGAAAGCGTTGTAATTTCCACACTCCACACACTCCTATCTACTGTACTTTTTTATGGCTTTCTCTTCCTATTAGCATGCCGCTGCGGAATTTGACTTTGCTTTGTTTACACACATTTCAAGGTTACCATTTAATCACCATCCTACTTGTATATCACACAATTCATTTCATAAACGACCCAATAAATTTAGCCCACACCGTGTTTCATGACCTCGTAACTTCGGGTTCAAAAAACTTGAACAAGAAGCAAAACGAAAACTGTCAACAAAACTTTACTCTACACGTAAAAATCACATGGAACTACCTGTCGTCAGCGTTTGCTTGGCGGCCATTTTACCTGCGCGCCGAAGTTTCGTTCGTGATTTCAAGTTTCGAAACTATCGAAAGAAATTTTAAACTTATTTTCAATGAAGGGTATTGGGTTCTGAAGTTTGTGTTTACTTATCTCTTGGATTTCGATGTAACTATCTCATAAATTAAACAAAAATAATGTTTGCGTAAGGCTCTATTTCTACCTGCACATACCTTTGACTGCTGCTGTCTGTCGCACAGGTAACACAAGTAAAAACCGCCTGAAGGTATGAAGTGACTGCGCAGCACTCGAGAATAAACTTTTCAGGATACATACAAGAAAACTTCACTCCACAGTAACGCGATTCACTAGCATCCAACAATCAGGTATTCGCAATTGTTGTCGTATATTCACAAGCATCCGATGACATATCCATGGCCGACGAACTACAGACGTTTTAAAAATTCCTCAGCAACACTGGGTGTGTAACGACCGCGCACAACTCCAAACAACCACTGCCTGACACAACCTTGCTTTCGCAACCTGTTTGCGCATGCGCACAATTTGTGTATATTGGACAAAGAGCAGGAAATGGTGTATCTTTCTTTTTAAATTCCTTGATTATGGAAGGGAAATATCTTCCTTCAGCCAAGCTTAGCCTTGGTAATTATTTTTTTCTGTAGGGAGTAAAGAGAGAGTACAATTATCTATAGAGAATTTTTATTGTTCAATCGCAACTATAATTAGTGTCCTTTGAAGGAGGGCTATATACAAATAAAATTTAGAATGATAAATTAACAAATATGAGAGAAATATGTTCTTGTAAAGAGACAAAAATACTACATGTTTCCTATCCTGGAGATCAGCTGTTGAGAAACAAAACATACGAGAGAACTAGTAGTATGTCTGTGCTAGTATCTTTGTTTACAGAAAAAGGAAATGTTGAGAAGTACTTCTATTTGTTTAATGATAGGCACAACTATTACAGGATATATGTACAATGTCAAGACAGCGTGAATTCGAAGATGACGTAGATATTTACGGGGATTTGCCAAACTTCCCCTGTATCGGGGATACTGTAAAAGAGGTTAGTGTATAAAGGTACATAACCTAATAGTGTTCCCTAAGTAATTAATTAACGCGATAAGAAATTGTTACATTTTCAGTCAGAATTACTCGTAAGACGAATAGAAAGCCTCTGAAACTTTGAAATAAGGCAGAAAATAAATGGCCCATCGTCAAATTCCCTGTCTTGGTTGTACCATAAGCTTGTCAACAGTTTAGTTCTGCTCCTGAATAGCTGGCACTACAGGACTAGTGATGTATAATGAGTAACATCTAGTGAAGACATAAATGGATATGAACGCTATGGAATTTCTTTCATGTATGAGAATACTTTTAATTTATGCTTGGAATGATAGACGTGTGGAAGTACCGAGGAAACTATCAGCTCATATTTTATTCTAAATTGCTTTATCAGGCTAGGTATAAGTAGGCTTTGAGGTTCTCTTAACAGTAAATACAAAGATGGCTGTCTTATGGGTTGCAGCACCATGTAGTCTGGTAGAAGTTTTCAAACTTTTCAGATATCCTTGTTGCCTCCATCATTAGGGTGATCATCAACCCAGAAGACAGCCATCTTCAATCTAGACATAATAGAATAATTACAGGTATTGTAAACTAAAATATATAACTACGTGTGTATGTACCGGGTATTGAAGTTGTTGAAAATGCATATAACATTTCATTTTGGTATTTCTATCTGTTTTGATTTCAGCTTGAAGAAGCAAAGAAAGTACTTGAAGATGAATTAACGAGACTAAAGGAAAAGTTGAATGTGGTTACAAATGAAAAAGATGAACTGGATTCCAAAAACAAATTCCTTGGTTTAAATATATCATCACTCTATAAAACTGCAACAGCAGAGATTCAACGGAAAGACAGACTGATAGCTGAGCTTCGGGAAGAGTAAGAATTGAATTTATGGAGCTGTTTAATGTTTTTTTATAATTTTCTCTGTGTTCTCACCCTCAATAAACATGTCTTTGCTAATGAAAGTAACCATTATTTTAATACATACATAAGCACATTTATATTGATGTCACTGTAGCTCCAAGAATTATCAAGTCATATATATCTTGGCAAGGGGTAACAATTGTTTATGTGACATTGAGAAAATTCATTAACCTTCACATCCATCATGCAATGTCCTGTCAGCATGAACTCCAGGAAAGATTAACAGGAGAATATTAAACCTGCAATTCTGGAAAAGTTCAAGATGTAACACAAAAGGCATTATCTTAGACATAAACCGTTTTTGCATTAACCTGTATCTTATTCTTTTAGGAAAGATAACATTATTTTCCGAAGAAAGAAAAACTTTACTAAGGAGGCTGAACAAACGTCAGACAACAGTGGTGATCATCAGTTCTCTCAAAATGCAGCTGAGCAGAATGATCACCAAACTCCAGAAGTTGATCCTATAGAATCGGATAATGCAGATGCTGACAGCAGTGATTCACCTGCGTTAACGCCGTATACGAATCCTACGCCGCAAACAGTTCACACACTTTTCAGTAGAAGACGTCTGCAGATTACGTCTGACTGTAACAAGGCCACAAGTGCAGCCAAGTCTAGTGAAAATGTTAATCAGGAATCAGCAGTTCCATGGAATTTAATTCCTCTTTCAGATTCCAAACAGAAAGACACAAAAGAGAAGGCATACCACAACTCTACACATTTAAGTAAAGAATATGATTCATTTCCACAAACTGAGTCAAAGAAAGATGTAAGCAAAGTCGAAAATGGTAGTTACTTGCCTAATAGAACAGATGTAAATCATTCTGAAACCAGTGAAAGAGAGCATACGAGTACAAAGAAATCCAATACTGATAGTACCAAACATACATCTCACATCCTGCAAAGAGAGCCTGGACCTAGACATTCTTACCAAGGGGATGAACACTCATCATCCTCTAAATATAAAGGAGAAAGCTATGTCTGTGCTGACAGTGATAGGTCAAGAACACGGTCCAAGTACGTTTCTTCAGAGCACCACTCACATTCAGAAGGACGGGCATCATATAAGACACCCAGCACAATACGTGAGACCAGTGTATCGCGTGCTCTTAGAAGCTTAAGATCAAGATCTGTTTCTCAGTCCAGGACTGTACCGGAATCTGTACAGAACACTGGGGAGAGAAGGTGTGATGTCAGAGCTTCATCACATGGCAGAAGCTCTCCATTATCAGACGAGCGCATGAATCGCACATTAAAACCAGCTGACAGTGATGCCTCTACTACCCATCTGAAATCACAGTTAGCAACAGAAACACAACATGAAATTTCAAGGGATCTCGGTAGTAAACCACAAAATAAATTCACACACAGTGGAGAAACACATTCTGAAACACATGCTTTAACTGTTGAACTGGGTTCTTCTTCAAAAATACCACAGGCTGAAACTGGCATAAAAGCACAAATTTCACCTTATGCTGAAAGCAATCTGTCTGAACATAGTAGTTTTAAGCGTTCAAGGAGGCCTAAAATCGTCAAATTACACTCTGAAACCAAACCTAGTGAAGTAAGTAATTCTCCCAATGATCCTGATTTCGTTACAAACAGAGCCAGCGATTTTATCTGTGAGCGTAATAAAACTGAAGGGACAAAGAGGCACCGTGACAGTAAAGAGAGAGATGAAGCTCATCTCCGAGATTCTAAGAGACGAGCGCTGGACGATATAACGGGGAGAGAATGTTACAGCTGTAAAGAATATGATAAGAATACAGACCCTAAACAAAAGTACAGTGGTAGAGTAAAAAGGCAATCAAGTCCATGTTCAGTAAATGAAAAGTTGCTGAAAACTAATAAATATACCAAAGATGACGGTGGTAACATTAGAAATAAAGATACTTCTGTACTGGAAGAAACAAGCACAGCTGAAGAACAGAGAGAAACAGACACACAAGATATTAAAATGGATGTTGAAGAAGGTGAGATCCACGATGCTGATGATGATACACAACCAACTATGGCAAATGCAACTGAGAAGAAGGGAACAATTTGCAATAAAATAAACATTAAATCCAATAGAAAAACACTAAGTGAAAGAGACAGAAGAAAAGAGAAATATAAAGAAACACACAATATAGATGAAACACATGTACGACTTAAAACATGCAGTGTAGAATCTGAAGTAAGTGAGAACGATAAATACTCGAAAGACAGAAACAAGAAGTTGAGCAGTTCAAAAAATTGTAAGACAATTATGGAAAAGAAAGAAGTGTTTGACGTTGCACAGATAGAAGCAGGCGTTAATAAACACAGCAAGGCAACCAGACAAGAGGAAGAGAATGTTAAAAATCCCGAGGACATTAGCTCGTTGGAAACTAATAAAGGAGGTGGCATACAGAATTTTAGCGAAGGTGAAACAGAGTCAACGAAAAAAACTGAGGATGACAGACCAAATGATAAAGAGGGAGAGATGCAGTGTGGAAAATTAAAAAAACCTGTTACTGAAGTGTCAGTCACTCACGAAATATTTAAAACTGGCACAGCAGAAATCAGTCGTCATAAGTCTGTATCAAGAGGTAATTCAGTAAAGTTATCTATAGGATCCAATAAGGCGTCTCCAGTTAACCTGAAATTTCGTGCTAGAAGATCTATGGAACACAAACTTGAAGACAGTAAGGCTGTACTATCAGTGAATATTACTCCTCCTAAAGATAGAGCAATCACAGAAACTAGTTCGAACAGTTTAAATGTGGAAAGTCTAGGTATGAGTGCAGAAAGGATTAACAGAATTCCTAAAACCCAAAAGTGAGCTGAAGACAGGGACAACAGAAATAATGTAAACATTCTGTAGTCATGGTAGCGGTGGTAATACAGCAGACAAAGTGCCCAGAGATATCGGAACTGATACATTTTTTACCACAGTTGTCTGTCACGATGATATCGTAACAACTGCATACTTAGTGTACTTTCTGAGAGGGAAAACACTTGTAAACTTTACATAAGAATATTTTTAAATTTCAGAAATTAGCATGTAAATATATTTGCTGATTATTCTCAAGTATGTGATGAGTGGGAGTTTGACAGTAATAGTAGGTCACGTGATTCTCATCACAACTCAGATGACTTGGTATCCATATCGACGGGGAAATTAAAAAGTCAAAGAAACGGGAAAAAACCGTGTAAAAATAAACTAATGAAAGAAATCTGTTATCACAGAATGAATATATACAGTAAAACCTCCACACATCACAATTCAAAATGCCAAGGTTTTTGTACTTAATGTAGATATTTTTCTATTGTATTCTATTAAGACTGAGGACAGCAAATTCCTTACATCAGTACATTTGCTGCTAGGCATTTACATGGCATAACCCAAGAGATACAGCAAGTGGTCTTTTTGACTGGAAAAACAAATAAAGTAATACATATCTTAAGTGCATTTCTTACATCTGTGGTGAAGATGAAGCGTACTGATGATTTTGCGAAGATTTTTAAATTATTTTTTGGCAGTAGCAAAGTGCTACTGCCTTTATTGGCAATTTATGTTTTGATATAATGGTTTACCGCACTAATGTGCTTAAGTAAGGCATTTATGAATGTTCCTTAGTCATGAGGCATGCATGGCCGTTAGTCAAAGTCGCATAATGCTGTATATATGTGAAATAAACACCAAATTACCTTTCTTAGCTGTCTTATTGAATGGATTTGGTTATGAAGATGATACTTTAAAGGAGTAAAACATTTGCTGATGTGTGACACGAATTTCCTCTCCTTCTGAACCTGTGAAGTGTGTACTAGTTATACTATGAAACAGTTGGTATTATAATTAAAGTATTATATTATCATAATAAAAATGTAATACATCAAAAGCGATGTATTTTTCTCCATAGAACACATCAGAAGTGAATTTCTGAATAATATTTTAAACAAAATGAAAAATTCCCATTTTAACATTTCCATGACTGCAGTTATATATATATTGTACCATGCCGACAGAAAACTCGTGTTTTTAGACCTAGGCCTAGCTGCTGGGCTAAACGCGATGGAAAGCAACAGTAATGTTGGTTGTGTCTGCTGTAAGAAAGCACTGATAAGATAAAGAGTGACACATTGAAACAAAACTCTTGTAAAATGTTGGTCGTACTTATCCAAAAACATTTTATTTTAACGCTGTGACATGCGACACCACCTTGAGCAAAGAAGGACTAGGTTTTGAACCTCAACATGTCTTAACAATACAAATATGCAGAATTGAAATATTATGTCTGCAGCAATACAGGATGCCTGGCCAAAACACATATCTTAAGCTACCGACAGTAATGGGAAAGGTTACACATTTTCAAAATGAGGAACTCTGATGAAAGTTTTAAGCAGGAAATAATATACCCAGTGACTTTCTTCTCATGAAATATCTGCTGGCTCCAGCTTCAACACCTGAAAGTGTTGGAACACAGCCTCAAAACATCTGCACTGTTACCATGTTGGTACAATACTTCTCAGCACACAAAACATGTAGCCGAGCGTCATAAGCATATTACATGGAGCACTAGCAATGAGAACGATTTAAAGAATTCTGAGTGTGGAACAGTAAGATTTTTTATTTTCTGTTCTGAGGTGTTAGCCAGGCTAAAACAGTTAACACAAATGCTGGCTATAAGTCATTTAACTGTATGATAAATTATCTTTATGATCAACATATGATATCAAATTGAAGAGACGTTCTTGTTCAGACTGAAGCAAATGTACTTAAAACACATCAAAGAATGGAAATGCAGCCTGATCAGGTGTCATTGTATCAACAAGGTAACACACAGTGCCTGCCTGACCTTCATACAAACTGTAAGGGGTATCAGGTCTTCTTGCTTCCTCTGAGAACGTAGGGGTAAATACGAAGTACGCAAAGGCCCGGGCACGATGGAGGTGTTTCGGATCACCTGTTAGGCGATACAGCAATAGAAACACATATCCATTTCCTGCGACTCCATGACATATTCCTGACAAAGAGAAATTTACATTTTACTTCAACCTCATGAGAATACGCAACACAGTTATAATGAAGACATGCTTTTTACATAATTTATTTTATATTCAATATAAAAAAATGTTCTTGAAGTAAAGTACTGTCTCAGTAATTAGGAATGCACCGTGCTATGTCATCCTATACACACATTTCTTGTTTCAAAGTACATTACTTTCTGAACAATCTGTTCTTAAATTCGTTTGGAGAACACAAAATCCTTCGTGGAACAATTCTTATTTTTAATGATCTTGTAACATTCTGTAAGCCAAGAAATAAATAAATTAAGAAGAAAATACAAGAACCAAACATCCAATTAATGTTTCAGTGGACTCTTTGAATGTATTGATCACGAAATTAAGCAACTCACACACACACACAGCCTAGCTTTCACTGCAGTGCTGACAAATGTCCATACTGTATTAATATGAGAGAAAAAACTATAAATTACACAAACACCAAATCAAAAATTTCCTCCCCGAAAGACCAAGAAGAAAATGGGAGGATAACAATTAGACAGATCTTAGGAAAGTTAAGTTGTGAGGATGGTGACCAACAGCGTTGTTGGTAATGATGAACCTTTCGATTCTCCTGTCAATGTTAGTTAGTCACTTTGATACATAACACATCGTATTATCCTTACCTGGGCCTTTTCTTAGCAGTCCTTTTGACCACACAAGATCTCCACACTTCAAACAAGATTTTAAATATTTATCTTCTTTCCAGTGACGATAAGCCTTAGCCATTAAATACACGACACCTGTCAAAATGTATAAATAAACAGTTACCAAAGTGTTTATACTCGTTCATCACATATACATAGATCACCTAATGCACATGATATAGATGGATCGCAGACCTACACACTCTTATTCAATTCTTATGCCACATTACTGTAGATCACACAAGATGGTCACTACACCGACTCCCTATGTCTGCGATAATTCTAACGCTATCTACGATGTAAGAAACTGGGGAGAGGCTCTTCCTCCTAACATTTTGTTTACCTGATATAGATTATAATACTTCTTTTCGGTATGTTGGTTTTCTGGGTATCAATGACGTGTGGCCTTCCACATTTTTCTTTCTCAACTTATCTATTTTACTGAAAAGTCTTTAACAGCCTGCAGATTATTGCAATTAATTTTGACCTCCCTGTCCAGCCGCATTGAAATTCTACAGAAACACCATTACCTGGAGCTCCGTGGCACCAGTGCACCAGTTCGTCAGCCTCTGATCGAGCCCTCCTCCCAAGCTCGTCCATTGCGGACGGAAAATTACCAGATTGGGTCTGAAGACTCAGAAGATAATCAACACTTGCTTTCACATCCTGTTCAGCTGCTGGATCAGATTGAAGGCAGGCAGGAAATGACAGGAGCATTTGCAGGATACCAGACAGACCATGGGCTGCTCCTGAGATCGAGCATTGACACATCTCTATCACATCATGCCTTGTGCCGTTCATGATTACATCTCAGCCCATACTTTTGTTAAATTACATGCTAGCTTACTTCCCTTATTCTTCAATGTGTGGCTTACAATACCACAGACAAATTACGTTATAGACATTTTTAATTTTATAATACCAAAAATATCAATGTATCAGTAATCAAAAACTTATTAAAAATTACCGTAGGACAAATTTTTAAAACATGTAAATTTCAAAGAAGGAAGTCTTCTGGGTTGCAGCACTGTGTAGTCCGGTAGAAGTTTATCAATGTTTCAGAAGCCCTGCTGCCTCCATCATCAGGACCACCCATATGATGGAGGGAGCAAAGACTTCTGAAACATTGGTAAGCTTCTACCAGAATACACATACACGGTGCCACAGCCCAGAAGACAGCAATCTTCGGACTCAAATCCTACTTATGTTAAATTCACATGTCATGTTGCTTTTCATAACTCAAAACAACAAACTCTGCATTTAGCTTGCAACTATTATGAAATGCACTCAATTAACAACTTTATGAAAGAAATCACAAACACAGTTCTAGAAAAAGGAATTTAACACTAATTGTAACAAATCAACTTTGTTGCCAACACAAATTTTTATCTTTTCGTCATCATATCTTTTTTTAAAAGATTCATATCATATTCTGAAAAATGCAGCTCTCAGCAATGCATTTACAGAATGCTTTTTTTAGCATTCCGTATTACGGCACATGAGAATGTAAATATTAACCTACCAAGATATTCCGTATCATAATAAGAATACATCAATGGGCATGGACTTCTGTGACGTCTGGCATAATTTCGTCCTGATTCAATGACACACTTGCAGATTTCATCAATGTCCTTTGCTGGGAAACTTCCTTTCCCGAAGACTTTCTCCAGCCACAGTACACCACACAGATATCCAGCCCGACCAACAAGCAACTCATCCTCACCATGAGGCAAGTTGTGAGTTTGGCAATTAGCAGCCAAAGCAACATAAGCTTTGAAATAATGATCAGCCTTACTTTTGTCACCTGAAAAAAACAAAAAACAAACAAACTTAAGATGTTACAAACTGCTGGGGTCATAAAGCCATATTTATATAAAATTTATATGACATACTCCAAATCTTTGTCTTACATCAAAAGAAGTAACTATCAGAAGTAAATAAATTAACAAATTTAACAAATGTAACATACCTAGTGCATTGTATACAGCAGCTGCAACTGCATAAATTCCCGCGTTTCCAAGCAAAAATGCAGATTTATCTCTCTCATGACGTTCTGCATATTTCAGCGCTGGTATAATATATTTTAAACCTCTTTTTAAAAGTTCAGACTTTTCACTAACAAATGCTGGTGACAGGCTCGTATGATAAAACATGTAACCTATTCCTGCAATGCCAACATACAATCCACCATCTGCAGCATTCACTGAAGGATCTTGTCTGTCTGTGATAATATTTACAGTCTCGTGTATCTTCGAATTCCATTTCTGATTTGTAAATAGGTTACTATCCTTTTCGTAATCCTGTAAAGTATTAATAAAGTATCTTTTGGGATGACTCATTGACATTTGTATCCTACGAACTTGTAAATCTTTGTTCACAAATGACAAACACAAAAAACGTAAGTTTTTCAGATTTAACATACAGTTTTTAAAATAAAATTTTACGCATTATAGGTCGCTAAGCACGATCAATATTCTTTGCAACACACCACAGCTATTGCCACTTGCGGCCATTAACAAACAGAATCACTCAAAGACTATACTTCAAACTATCTTGTATTATGATATCTCTGCAACATTCACATTAACCCTAGTACACCGCAAATTCATGTTCCCAACTTAACAGAATACGCGGGGTTGGCATAATTTTATTGTAATTAACCCCATACATTTAGAATAGCACAGTACATATTAGTCACCAGAACTGGTTTATAGAGGTAAAAATGAATTGCCTATACGCTACTTCTGGAAAACAATATTTACTTTCTGCCGCCCGTATTATTGTTCCTGATGCTTAAGTTGGTTTGTGAATTTCGCGACCGTTTATATTCGCGAATTCCATTACTTCCAGCGCATTGTATACATAATCTAATGCATATATGGATTATCTAAGTCTCATGACGTTAGAATGGAATTGCCAATTTCATGTAATCAATATTTTGTCACTCAAGTACATAGAGGATTTAGTTAATCTAACAATTCAATAATGTTCATTCAGTATTAAAAATGGCGCTACCTGCCAACATGGGGTCGATCGTGTTAAAGAGTTTATCTGTGCTACTCGGAATATTTTTTATATTTGTTGGAGTCATGAAAATTACCTCACAAGTCAGTAAAGACCTTCATAAAGATCTGGTACGTATTTTAGTACATATAATGAGCTACATAATGGTATATCCTACTATTAAATTACAAGTGTTGTATTCCCCTGTTACACCTGCAACCCGTTAATCATAGTCGTAACGCACTTAATCAAGCATACAGGGGAACCAGTATTGTCTTCAACAATGCCTTCCTGTTTGATATCAATAGGTAAATCTGTTAATTTTATAAATATGTGGGTGGTGTACGGATACCGTACTTAATTTATCTTTAGAATAAAAATCCTTGGCAGTTTGCCTTGGCCAGCACACAGAAGGTGTTACCAGTGCTAAATCTAAAATGTGGGCCAGTGTATTTGTAGTTATTTTTATATTACTGCATTCCTCGTTAATTTTTTAATCAAAGGCTGTTTTCACTCTTTTTTTCCAAAGAATAAGTGTACAATTACAACAATTGTTTATAACAGCCCAGTTACACATTTGTATGCTGTTAAGTTAGATATTTTTGTATTATTACTGAAACAAAATTTGTGGCCAAGAAAGCTGCTATTTAGAAAGGAATAAGCATCATGTATCTATAATATGCCTCTAATTTATCCTAGATATCAAATTGTAAGAAAACAGACATTCAGTTTCAAGTAACTGAGTCCCAGATTTATTTCCTGAACAAAAGTTTTATTTAAGTGGAAGGCAATTCATTGCACAAGTTCCATTACTTTGATTGAAGTGGATGAAAATTGGCGACCATGTCCTCTGTCAGATTTGAACCCATGATCATGTAACATAAGGCAGGAAAACACAACACTTTAATGCCTGTCACACTGACCGTACTTTGGTATTAATATAAAAAAATAAAAATATTCAATGATGAGATGGGTGCACCATGTAGCATGCATGATGGAGATGAGAAAATCTGTACAAATTTTGGTTGGAAAACCTGAAGAATATAACTTGGAAGAATACTCTGAATTAAGCAAAATATTGCCCTTTTTCAAGACTCGGAGTGAATTTTTGTTTACCGATTTCAATATGCTAAACAATGGAAGCGAAGAACACTCTCCTGGGCGTCCATGTGTAAAAATCCTTCTTTCAGTATTTTAACTCATCCTGCTATATTTCCAAATTCAGAATTAGCGATCAAGATTTACGACTTGTGCTATTTAAGAATTCCAAAATGGCCTAAATTTGGAGAACATTTAAAATTAATTAAATTACTTAGAGCAAAAATACACACACATGCACACTGCTTTTATGTCTAATATTTCTTTCTTGTATTTCAGAGAAAAGAATATGTAAAATATGCAAAAGTATTTCCTCTGTCAGAAGCACTGGATTTTAAAGTACCCTCGAAATGGTATCGAAGAATCATAGGCACCCTAGAAATAGTCTGTGGATTGGCAATGGCATTTGTCCCAAGCAGTATGTTAAATATTGATGATGACAATAGTAAATGCAATGACTAATCAAGTTTTTTTTAAAGGAATGACTTCCTTTTAAAATCTTCTTTTATTTCTTTCTAGATGCAGTAAAACAAGGCGCTAACATAATTTTACTAATAATGATGATGATGGCTGTTTATTCACATTATATGGTTAACGATAAATTTGAAAGGATTGCACCAGCACTGGTAAGATGTTAATCTAACAGCCCGTAATTTATATGATGTTCATGTTATTACTTTTATTACATAATAATAATGATTATTATTATTAGAGCTGATTACAAAAATGCCTTTCCACATTTCATGTTCCTCCATTCTTGCTAATTTCTCCAAAATAAATGTTAATATATAATACAGCTTTTTATATATATGATATGATATTTGTTTCATATCTTTCATTCTAACTAACTGGGTGCCACCTATGTTGATCTGACAGTACCTTAATTTAGTCCATAACTAATTCACTCTTGCTTTTCAGGTGTTCTTGTTCATGCTGACAGGGAGATTAGTAATAGACTGGCAGTTAAGAAGGAAAGAACAAACTGAAGTGATTGCTGTAAATGGAGAGAAGAAACAAAACTGAGTTCAGCAATAAAAATAAATCCCATGAGGAAAACAAACAGATCGATTCCAATATCACAGAAAACATAAGATATAATCTGATCTTCTAAAGAATTTTTTCTCATAAAATGGGAAATGTCATGGCGATGTGCCGATGTCGAAGTCGATGATTAAGCATCAGTATACGTAAAGAAAGCCGATGTTCGAGGAGAGTGAATTATAACACAGGCCCTGATTATGATACAGAACTATAATTTTAACAAAACAAAGTGTTATTATTGCTTAGTTTTACTGCTAGTTCAGCTCTGAAATCATGTTAAAGTGGTTCTCTCAGTGAGTTTTAGCACAGTAATTGTCTCAAGTCATGCCTGTACCCCCCACTACTGCCAAGGTCCAGTTTCATGGTCTACTCTGTGGACATGTTCACGTTTGTAAGTAAGTTCCCACATCTGCAAGTCTTCACTAAGCTGTTCTGAATAGCATGCGTGTGTTTTAAAACTTACATTCTCGGTTTATTTTTTGAAGTCAACGATTATTCTAGTCAAGTTATGAATGAGTATATTGCATAATATAATGCTTCAGTAATTAAGACTTACTTACAGTACTCTGAGGGAGTTTGATAGCTAATATTCTCCGTAGATTCTATAGGGAAATATGTATGAAGTCCAAAAAATTGAATTAAACCACTCAACCGTAATCGATATGTAAACCATTTCCATCACTGAAATGATTTCTCTTGTGAAACATTCATACAAATACACAAATGCGCTCAGGATTGTTATTTACTCCTTAGGTTACGAGATCTAAGCTCAAAGGGTGGGACGCACAGAAAGTGTTGCACATGTTGATGAGATTTCAGGTTCTGACATTGATGATTATGAAGACAGCTGTCTTCTGGGGTGTTGTGACATGTAATGTGATAGATACTGATTGGTGTTTTAGAGCTACAGCCTCCATCATGAGGGCAACAAACAGTGCTGGAAGCAGTAAGCACCTCTGGAATGTCACACAATATCTACCAAACTACACTGTGCAATATCCCAGAATACAGCCATCTTCCTGTTTTACATGTTATCCCCAATTCCAACAACAAACCCCACATCTACAAAATAAAAGACCTACAATTCCCCTTCTGGGAGATTTATTTACCAGGATGGAAGTTTTACTGAGATTGTAAGATGTATACTTGTTTTTGTGGGTAAAGCGATATGTATTCCTCTCCGAGGGCCCTGAAAAGTGCAATTTCCTGTTCCTTGCTACCAAACGAACTCTGCTCCCTGGACTCATCCTCCACCTTACCCTATGTAACATAATATTTCTCACCTCAACCTTGAAGATACTGGCAGCATGTTCTTCTGAACCAATGCTATACAACCAGAAGACTACACACTAACTGTCCTGGTTATACAAAGGCACACAGCTCACGCCGCACATAAAAATTCAGAGAAAAATGTGAAATCATGTCAGTGAAATTCTGTACTACAGTTCAGTCATGTTTATCAATAAGAATTCAGAATGGCAATAAAGGTAACTTATAACAAACAAACAAAGAAATTAAAATTATCTTTCAACTCATACTGGCTTTTCAAATAAACTACACAACTAAGGAATTACAAATGGAATGACTCAAACTTTTTCCAGAAGATATTCTTTCATGAGTATGTTTAATGTCATTCTAATTTCATATTGTTTTCCCACATAGAATAACGCAAGCATTTGTATTTATTGATATGCACAAAATATTTGTAATGGTTGTGGAATGTTTAATTTCCATGTTTAAGTATTAAGGACAGAATTGTTTCAAAATGCAGTAGAACGCCTTTTAACTATTTCCTAGCTACTTATCTTTAATAGGGCTATTGATTATACTGCATTGCTTTGAAATGTGTTCATACACAGAGTGGATATCTCAGTTCTGTTCATAATGCACTGAATTTTGTATTTTGTCAATAGTGTAAATAATGTATGTATGTAAAATTTTGTGTGTTCAGTCCTGTAAACTATTAGTGCAAAACCAGTAGGAATAAAAATTTCCCTCAATGATGCTCCTAAAGATATAAATTAAGTTCAAGATATCGCAAGAACTTATCGAGAAAAGCGAAGACATACCTACTGGAGTGTTCTATAAAATATGAAACTCTTTGCAGTGATACGATGCAACAACATTTACTGAAGTGCTCAGTCAATTCGTGTCTCTTTGAAGTTAATTCCGTTTGTCATTAGGTGAAGCCACGATAAAGTAACTCCTGTAAGGACAGGGTTCAGACATGATTGCATGAGGAAACTTGAGAATGACAAAATGACGTCATGTCACGTTGTTTGAGTGGATATGGGCCGAAGTGTAACACAACTCTTTGTTGCTACTGCAGCATAGTGAAACAGAAGCAAAGAATTTCAAGTGGGTTCTCAAAGATTTGACATGGTGTATTATCACACATCAGAGTCCGTATCCAGACCGACACAACTTTACTAAACGTAATGCCATGTCTGTTAAAATTATACATATCTGACCATCTAGATTACACTTAAACTAAATCTGACTTTTTCATGTGGTTTCAACGCTGGTAACGAGGGAAGTGCTTTGCACCTAAAATATATTTGTATTCGTACGGTTTAGTATGAAATTCATTTACATTTTATAAACTTTACTTATGGTATGTCATTTTCCCTCACCACCCACTGCTCTTGTTAAGAAGGGTTGTACCACGTTACATACATAAGCAGTTCAAATCTGATCCAGAATTTTGATCACAGCATGTCAATAAATATCTTATCATTTTCATAACATGCAGTTCACTCAAAGTAATCTCTCCCACTAAGTAAACACTTGACCCATCCCATGAAATTATAGCAAATAACACCAATACTTATCAGTGTCGATGAGAAACAAACTCCAGGGACAAATCTGTAGAGTCCTCATAACATAATACGACATAAGCCAACTGCATCACTGTACTTAATACAGGTACAAATTTTATAAACAGCTCAATAAGATGTGTACATTTTCTGTTCACGTTTTTTTTTTGTGATGTGTCTGTGAGACAGGTGATGCAATTTTAAAGTTAACTGTAACATGACATCTTCAAACGTTATTAACAATTGTTACTTAAAAATGTAAATCTTCACATAATTTGTTTTGATTATCACAACATATTTCCTTCTCCTACAAACTTCAAATTCCAAAGTTTTCCTGCAGGTATGAAGAGAGAAACTACCTTCAAAAGTTCTGATTCAGTGAGATGATAAGGCAATAAAGTTTCTTATGCTGCATCCTGCCACGACAAAACTCACAGACAGGAAATCTTTAATCACTTCATGTTCATGGCAAAGCTTTTAAACTTAAAAAGATTTTCTACGGTTCCACTTATCTGATCTGAACAGTACTACCGAACTTCCAGCAACTTCAAGCTGTCCTGACATTTTTGACAATTTTCTAAGTCAAATGCTTAAAAACTATCCTCATTCAAGCCACTTCAGATTCTCATAACTTGTGCAGTTGATATAATGCTATTAAACGATCTAAGACATGTAATTACTGTGGTTTATTAAAATGACAACTCTTCAGTTTTAGCAGCTTGTTAACTGACAAAACACAAGCCCTTTATATCTGTCGTGGGTAAGCTGACGGAAGCGTCATTCAAGGTACAATGCATCTAGTATTTATGAAAAATACGACTTCTGGGGTTTCTGTTAGCTCAACTATGAGTTGAATCAAAAAATGGTCTGGTAAGAAAACTGATTCGGCCACGTACAAAAAGGAAAAATCTTTCGGGGGAAACATATTGGCGAGTAGAAATACCCAGACTGAAAATAAATTATTGGTTTGGAATAAAATACAGAGCTGAAAGATAAACTAAACATGGAATATGTGAGAGCACTAATATCTACTGTATGGTATAATTCATTTGCAACAAATTCCTCCAGTTATAGTCTATGATTGACATACCTCGCTGATGTAATTTCTTCTTTCTTCAGTTTCACACTGGATTTTGTGAGGTGATGACCATAACAAAGACCTAATGAAATCTAGTCACCTTTACAATCATACAAAAGTCACATAATATTCCATATTACCCACATTTTATAATGCGATCCCCTTCAACATTATTTTATAAGATTTTGTAAACTAACAGCCTGTGTTACTCAAGGAAGTGGATTTGAATGTGTCTGAGACCAAATTATTCCGATCTAAATCAATATTCATTAATAACAGATCACTGATAGGGAATTCCAATTCATTTACAGTAACGAGACAGTGAACATATGAAGAAAGCACTGGATTTTGGAAGGACTTCAAAGAAAACAGGAGAAGTGTTGTTGTTATTATTACAGATCTGAATCACATTAAATAATATAGTTGAATTTAACATACTGATAGCATTTCAACTATCAAAATTATGTTACATACTTTGTGTTTAATTGTAAGTATTTTAAAAAAATCTTAAATAAAAAGTTAATATAAAGCAATGCACATTACCAATTAACAAACAAATTAAAATTAACTGGCAATTAAGGACTTCTTTGAATACCAACAACAATTAATTCCAGTAGCCCTAAAAAACAAAACAGAACTCATTTCAATGTGCGGACACCACTTTAACAGTCAGTTCACTTCAGGTCCTGTATTAACTTTGAGCCCTTCGACAGACTTTGATGAAACATTCATATGTATGTACATATTACACAGTGGTGTATCACTGTGAAGACGGCTTCAGACACCTTTTACAGCTGTGAGATATTCAGGATTGTTAATCATGAAGAATGCAATATACGTAATAGTACAACTGGTATATACAACAAAAACAGAAATGTACATTTCTCAACAAAAATAAAAAACAGAATGAGTCAGTCCTATTTACTCAGTAGTTTATAAAAACTTACCGACAACTGCAAGCTATACAACATTCTGTGTTACAGGTTCAATCATCTTGTCCAGTCTGAAGCAATCTTAAGGCCTTTTGCAAGTTAGTTATAGCTGTTGAAATATCGTCATAATTAAGCGCACTGCCAGCCCACTTACAGTATTTCTGTGCTTTCGTCACCTGCGCTGCATCCAGCTTTACTCCTCCTGCAAAACCAAAAAGATCCAAAATCACTGACACTCACTAAACAGGCTATTTACTTCAGAATTCAATGACGACCACACCATGGTCCCATTTTCCTTCTTCCATCCTATAGCACGGAAGTATTTAGAAACTGTGCGCAGCCTGACACGGGATCATATCCTGCCGGGCATTTAACGTCAGCAAACGACGCCTAGAAAATCATCTGCCATGTTAATACACTAATGAGCCAAGCCTTGCAGCTATCAGATTATGTAAATGGATTAATCGTTGGACTTCTTTCGTCCACCGCACGGAATATTTTCCCAAAATTAGTACATTTACACAGTACCTTCAGAACTCGAGCCTCCACTCACGCCACCCGTTGGATTGTAATTCTCAAAGCTAGGCTGCAAATTTATTCCATCATTCGGTGTGACAGCTGCAGATGGAGAAGGATGGTACGGAATGAAGCCACCTGGATAACTGGGGGTGGTGGGGGGTACATAAGTATTGGATGCAGGTGGAGACGGTGCCTCAAAACCAGCTGCAGGTTTTTGAGGTTGAACAAAACCTGAAACAAAAATTACTTTGTGCATGTCTGTTACAAACTTAAACCCAATACATCGATTGCAAACGAGATTGGTAACTAACAAATGTATTCAGCAGTTCGGTGTTTCAGCCCCTACCTTCTCAAAATCATAACGCTCCTTACATTCTAGCTGGGCAATTATAATAAACACGTGCTATTTTTGCAGCTGTAGTCGTATAATGGATAGGATGAGGGCAGAAGAATGAAAATATAAATCGGTACACCCGATAGCACATTCCCCACGTAATTTAATTATTGAAGCAGTAATTATATGATTTAAAACAAAACGCGTGTATAGCATTACACCTCCTAACACTTGCCTAAAATTACCATTTTCCTGTTTGTCCCTCTGATATGAGTTTAAGTGTGTATAGCATTACACCTCCTAACCCTTGCCTAAAATTACCATTTTGCTGTTTGTCCCTCTGATATGAGTTTAAGGATTCATCATTATACAATTATTATATTATCTAACCAAATTCAGTGTTTCCAGCAGCCTCGCCGTAGTCTTCTTGAAACGCAGAACCTCCAGGAGTTGGATTCCCTTCTTCATTAAGTAAGCCATCATGCGGTTCACCTTCTTCTGTCAGTGGACCTGGGAGAGGTGTCTCACCATTCTTCAGACAATTATGAATGTAGGCAGCCTTCCATTTGGCATATTTTCGATTCTGAACGACCTCTTCCGACAACTCTCCAAATGTTGTGAGGACATCAAAGAGCATTCCAGCAGTGTAAAAGGCTTTCACAACATTCCTATGGCAAAGCGAAAACAATAAATAAATTTGCATACATTTTTCCTTCTTTCATTTCTCTGAATATTTATTAACTGTTAAAATAACTTTGAACAAAACCCATACTGAGCAAAGTGTTGAAAAATAAACTCAACATGTTGACAGAATAAAAAGAGACAGATTTTTCAGACTACCAAAAAAATAACAAACCACATGAATTAAGAAACAAAGAATGACTGTGAGACAGACTTTTAAGTGTACGAAACCATGATGATGATGATGATGACTATCACACCATGTACAACACCAGCAAGTAATACTTTTGCCTGGATTAGGAAGTTCATGGTCAAATTAATTCTCACCAACATTTAACATTATTTCACATCAAAGAAAGCTAAATTCTCACCAAAATTTAACATTATTTCACATCAAAGAAAGCTACATAATTTACTATGGGCTTTACAATTCCCATTAAAAATGTTACACTGACTGAGAAAAATTGTTTGGGATTAGAAACATAAAAGAATTCACTAGTTTAATGACAATAATTGTTAACAACTGATTTCTGTAAAGAACTATGTGGATCCATTGGTCTTGTTTACTCCATACAAGAACTGTTCACTGAATTATGTACCTGAAAAAGCAGCAACGTGAACTGTGAGAGTGCGGTTCAGAGACTCAGAATGACATTTCTGTGCCAGTGTCACTGATTTCTAAGACATCAATCAAGTGATTAAATTTCTCATGAAAGAGGCCATAATTCCTCATGTAGATTACTGATTATAGTCCAACATCTTGAAAGAAGCTGCTGAATTTAGAAAGGAATTTAGCCGAGAATGACACTGAATTTGAGTCTCCTATTGATATTTATGAAAAAATAGGCATTATGAAAACAAAGATCATTCTATCAAAATCCGTGTTTGAAATCTCAAACCGTGGATGTCTGCAGATGGAGTCTTTTCTACGTTATTTATGAAAATCTACCTATGCATAAAATCACTTCTTATTGGGTTCCCACTATCCATATTAAAGGGTGCAAAGAATAAAATGCAGGTTGCCAATGGCATGGAAAATTCTGGCTTCTGTGTCAAGACTGCTGGTTTTCAGAAGTCACAATCTTTCCCTCTCATTCAAACTTAGCCCCAAGTGACTATTTCATGCTGTCTAGCAAGTTCCACAACAATAGCGACACTCTGTATAATGACGTACTATCTCATGTTAATGGGCATGTTCTTCCCTGTAAGTCTGCAGCAGAAAGTAGTACCTACTTTCCAAAATTTGCAGCTCTGTCTTGGCTATCAGCATACAGGAAAAGTTTTAATGCATAATTTTCTATATGGGCTTGGGCAGCAAGTTCATGTGTTATGGCTTCATTATCTGCCTGTGCCTTTTTCTGTGTTTCCAACCAATCCATAAGACCCACTAAAAAGGATTTTGAGTCATCTGACTTCCGATCAATCTTGAGACCAGTCTGGAGAGCATAAAGGCGACCTATAAGAAAGAAAGTCTTATTGATAACTGACTCCTGAAGATGGAGGCTGTATGTTCCTCCAAAACATTACTATCTGACTACAAGTCCACTTGGTGTTACTACCCAGAAGACCAACAATAACTTACATGTATTGTTGAAAGCCCAAATATATTGTAATTGTGATATATTCTGTTTACATTTCGATGTGCCTCACGACACAAGGCCTTGTGTTGTAGCTTATTTAGTTTACATGTAAATTAGCACTACTGAATCCTCATTAACTTCTTCGGTAACTAATGGCTACTAACTTATCAAGGTTTGTGCTCCTGCAATTTCATAGTTCTGGTCTCTGAAATTAAATTACTATTTGCAAACAACTGAGAATGTAACCAACAACCCACACAATTACATGTTCTATTACCACCTAAGTGTCGGTAACTTTTCCAGCTAGTTGTAACGTGTTCTTTATTATGAAAAGTGGAGACAATTAATGTATGAAACATGTTATAATATTCTGTAAAAACAGAAGTGGTCCGGTTAATACACAAAGTGCAAATTGGTTAGTTGGTCACATCATTCTAAATTAGTTCAGAGTTTTAAATTACATATTTGTGCTTATTATTATTATTATTATTATTTTAAATTACATCTTTGTGCTTACTATTATTATTAATAATACCATTCGCAACAATGATATTTATAAAATACTTACACCAGTAACTGACAACTTGGTCTCGTCCATCATGTTCAGCTGCTGTTTTTAAATAATGTTGGATAGCCTTTAGTGAAGCAGGACATGGTGGTAATTGTGCGGACATTTATATAGATTGTTACGCAAACGCACGAATAAAATGTCAACAAATATCCTTTGAAATATTACCGCAAAGTACCGAAAAAGAAAGTTAACCTACAAATTTTCCAAACGACGAAACATATAAAACAACTTTCGATACGAAACTAATCACCTGCTTATAAGAAACGATGTTTATCGATAATCCAAATCACAGGAAAAGAAAACGACAGAGATGAGTTTGTGGTGTAGGCAGTAGCCTAGTCGGCAAGAAAGATAACTACTCTTCAACCACCGCCTCTCAGTTTAATGTTCCTGCAGATGTACAGTTAATAGCGAAACATTTAATTTATTTCCATTCGTTTGTTGTTGCAACACTGATGATGAAATTTCAGGCACTTAAGATTTGTACTTTAGTTTTGAAATTTCTATTATATGTTGCAGCATGAAATAATATTTCTGATATGGTATGCACCACGCAGAAATTAGCAATTAGCTTTCTTCCTACTTGTCCTTCCATTATAATAATAATGATAAGAAACGATAAAACGGAAACTCATACAAGTTGTGTACAACCATACATTATTATGTTTAGATGGTTGATTCATTACACAGAAGTAATATAATTGGTTTTAATGTTAAAACTGAGCTGATAATTTGCTATTCCATTCTATACATACATACATACATCTTTATTACATTCCATGGATCCATAAGTTAGTCAGATGATAATAGGATGTAGAATAATTCATAATAATACAACACATGTTATACAAATACAAGTCATACTATTATATAAATGTCACAAATACAAACAAAGGGTTCACATAAAGTAGAGATAAGTTACAAATAAACCCACCCATTATATACAATAGATAAATTATGACTTACTTGTAAACATTAGAAATTCATCGACAGAGTAAAAGGAGTGTGTAATTAATTATCTTTTTAATGCTGGTTTAAATTGTGCCTTTTTATTTACAAGACTTGTGAGATTTGATGATAGACTGTTGAAAAATGAAATATGGACATCACACCAATAACAGATTCAACTTGGATTCAACAAGAAGTTAAATTGAAGGAATATTTTGTGTACAACGTATTTCACCAAAATTGAAAGGCGAACAAATTATTATTAGCTGATTTTAATTAATCTTTTTAGCACTTAAGTTTGTTTCCTTGACAGTTTTTTGACATGCAAAATTTGGATTATTTTCAGGAATTCTATCACATGGGCCACTGCATTACTGTTATGGAAGAATGTGTTAAATTAACTGTGTAATAAAATACCACAAAATATGTTCTGTTCTAGACAATGTCACAGCTTTCACTAGTCAGCACGATCACACCCTTCACTCATCTAGAATAAGAGAAACTTTTAACTTTTGGAGAAGTTATTTTCAAACTCAGGGACTGGAAATTGTGAGATGTATGGGTGGCAATGGTGGTTGTCACTAAAAGCTCAAGGAACAAATATCCAATAATATAAAGAATACTTGGAGCAGTTTCATGTACAAAGAAAACCAAAGCAGCGCTAATGTACAAGTTTTATTATCGAAAATACCTGATAGGGGAAGGTGTACAAGTCACATGCATGTCGTGTTCAATCACAGTAGTTCTTGAGTGTTAGTCTCGGCACAATATTCATGGACTGCAGCTCCTGAAATAACAGCTTGCAAGCGTACGGTATAGTGATGGTCGACACAGACGCACTAGACCTGCAGCTGTGACACCTGAAATTACATTCAGCAAGACAAAGGCAACTCACAAACTTCTCTTTAATTCACCGAATAACATAAAGACATGTTTCTTTAATACAAATTTATCAAAGATTTTAAGTGGTAAAGATGTCAGCTGCATTCTCCTGGGTTGTGATACTGCATAGTCTTGTAGGTGGCTACCAGAGTTTCAGAAGAACACATCACCTTATTCTAATTTCAAAATATTGCTTTCCACATTCATTAACAGGCTAGGGAAATGAAGCCCAGAATTTATTTTTCTGGTTTGAAAGGCACATTCCACAGTGCGAGAAAGATTGTGGACCAAACCCAGACATGGTGAAAGAAAAGTTTTGTGCACTCCAACACACCAATCTACTCTTTGACGGAAGTTTCATGGCATTACAGCATCTCACACAAAGTGGGGATGAGAATGCAGCTGGTCTATGATATAACTTCGAAACCTACATTCAGTAAAATTAAAATATGCAGTTACTGACACTTAAATAATCTTTCCATGTACTACTTTCTAAGGATCTTGAACCAATACATATTAACACTGCATATTATACGAGGCTGGTCTACAAAGTAAGTTTCCCTGGGGCCGTTTACAGAAACAAAACACAATTTCAAGGAAATATTTATTGCAACCAGATACAGCAAGTGTCCAGCTATTTTTCAACATATTCGCCACCGGAATTGAGACATTTGTCATACCGTGGGACCAACTTTTGAATACCTGTGTCGTAGAAG